GTCGGTGAGGCGGGCGGGCGGCGGCGTGCTTTGCGAGGAAGCGACGGAGGAGGCGGGGAAGCGGCGCGAGCGGCGCGAGCGGCGCGGCGGGGTGGACATCGCGAGGAAAAGAAAAGTCGTGTAGGAATCGTGTGTTTGGTGTCATGTTGTGTGTGCCTTCGCTTGTTCCTATTAACAACGAAGTCCAGCAGAAAGCCGCGAGATACTTTTTTTATCCTTTGGCCGCGTTGGGTAGGCCGGTGAGATTGCTAGAGGTGGAGCAAGCTGCTCTAGCCTCACATGTCACTTCCTGTCGTCTGTTGTTTGAGTTGTGCCCTTGTTTGTGCCCTTGGCACCGTGGAGTGCTGGGGGTGGCGACAGGGAGGATGTGGCCCTGAGTTATGTGTACGCCGACTCAGGGTGTGTGGCAGCCAGCTGGCTGTGTGTCTTGTGAGCCTGTTTGTGTCTGTGTGTCGCTCGTGCGTGTCGTCATCATCTGTCCAGCGTCCACCCATACCGCGTTGGTGTCCAGTCCGAGCCTGGCTGTTCTTCACCTTTCTACCTACCTACTGTTGGGTAGCGACAGTCGGGGGGGCGCCGCTGCTCGGCCAGCGAGTCGTGGTCGGCGGGCTCTCCTCCCGCCCCGCCCGCGCTAAACGGGCAGCGGGCGTGGCGCGGAGCTTCGAGGGCGGGCGGTACGCTGTAGGGCGGCGGGCGGGTCAACGCGACGTACGAGAGAGACGAGGTGAGCGGCCTCGCGCTGCTGATGAACGCCGCCCGCTACGGCCATGAGCGGGTGGTCGAGTTGTTGCTGCGTCACGGCGCGGAGATCAACCTGCAGAACAGCAGCGGCTGCACCGTGCTGATGATCGCCGCCCAGGATGGCCACGAGCGGTTGGTCGACCTACTGATTCGGCACGGCGCGGAGATCAACCAGCAGAGCAGCGACGGCTGCACCGCGCTGATGCTCGCCGCCTTCTTCAACCACCCCGCCGTCGTGCGACGCTTGCTGCGGGCGGGCGCAGCTGCTGCGGCGCGCAATGTTGACGGCAAGACAGCGCTGCAGATGGCCAAGGAAAAGGGCCACACCGAGTGCTTGTGCGCCCTCGAGGAGCATGCGGCAGCGGAGGCGGCGGCTGCGAAGGCGGCGAGGGGGGCGGCGGAGGCGGAGGCGGCGGAGGCGAGGGAGGCGGAGAGAGCGGCGGCAGAGGCGGAGGCGGCGCGGCATGCCGAGGCGCTGCTGGCAGAGGAGGAGGCGGAGAAGGAGGCAGGGCGCGCGAAGGAGAGCAAGAAGGGGAAGAAGAAGAAGAAGAAGGGGAAGGGCGGCGGGGGCGGCGCGGGGCCGTCGCAGGAGCCCGAGGATGAGGCAGCGCTGGCGGCTGGAGAGGAGGCGGAGTTGGCGGCGGCGCTAGAGGAGAGCGCGAGGCTGGAGGAGGAGAGGCGGGCGCCCGACGAGCAAGTGTCGTCCTCTTCGGCTGCAGAGAGGCCGCCTCCGGTGGAGGAGGAGGAGCCGCCGGCCGACTTCATTTGCCCGATCACAACCGAGGTGATGAGCGACCCGGTGACGGCGGCGGATGGGCACTCATACGAGCGTTCAGCGATCGAGCGCTGGCTCGCGACCAAGTCGACAAGCCCTCTTACGGGCGAGGAGCTCGAATTCACTCGGCTCTTCCCAAACCACACACTCCGCCGGATGATCCGACAGTGGCAAGAAGCCGCTCGCGCCTGACACGCTTGTGGCGGGCTGGGGCGGACTGAAGTCACTGGTCAAATCTCAAATCGTTGAGTCGCCGACCACACCCACAAAGAACCCTGCACAAAGACCGCAGGGCGGGGACCTGTTCCTTTTTACCCATCTCCTAGTAGACTGCCGGTTTTATTTATTTATTTATGAAGCTTCCCCGTGCGCGGGTTACCCCGCACACGGGTCAGCCTGCCAGCCACGTATCCACGCAAGCGTGGTCCGCGCGCATGGCATACAGGCGTCCGCCAGACAGCGCAGAGGCTAGGCGACCGGGGAAGGACTAGCTCAAGGGCAACATGCTACTCGAGTAGAAAGAGAACTCGTGTTCACGGGCCTCTCGCGATGTCTGCCCCGCGGCGCCGCTCGCGCCGCCTCGCCTCCTCCGCCTCCGCCGCGCCCTCGCCAGACACGCCGCCGCCCGCCCGCCTCCTCGACCTCCCCACCGACCTCCTCGTGCGCGTCGTCTCTCGCTGCGACCCCGTCGACATCGCTCGCGTCGCGGCCGTCTCGCTGCTCTTCCACGCCTCGCTCGCGAGGGAGGGCATCCGCTTGCGGGCGCAAGAGCGCGGCTTCGAGCTGCCGGCGCAGCCAGAGGGCGAGGGCTGCGCCGTGCGGTGGCTGTGCTTGTCTGCGCTGCTGCGCGAGTCCAACCCGCCGGCGAGGGTGGCGGCCGGCGAACGGCACAGCCTCTTCATCGTTGGCGAGGGGCGGCTCTCGTCGTGCGGCTGTGCTCACGTCCCAGGCCTGCTTGGCCACGGCGAGGGCGTGACGCGGCTCAACACGCCTACGCGCCTCCCTTCTTCGCTGGGTGAGCGCGCCGTAAGCGTGTCGGCTGGAGACGCGCACAACCTCGCCCTCACCGCCGACGGAGCTGTCTGGAGCTGGGGCTATGGAGTCTGCGGCCGGTTGGGCCACGGCGACGAGCAGAGCCAGCTGCTGCCGAAGAAGGTCGAGGCCTTGGTTGCCCAGCGCGTCATCGCCGTGTCGGCTGGAGTCATGCATAGCCTCGCCCTCACCGCCGACGGAGCCGTCTGGAGCTGGGGCAATGGAGCCTTTGGCCGGTTGGGCCACGGCGACCAGGAGGACCAGCTGCTGCCGAAGAAGGTCGAGGCCTTGGTTGACCAGCGCGTCGTCGCCGTGTCGGCTGGAGGCATCCACAGCCTCGCCCTCACCGCCGACGGCGCCGTCTGGAGCTGGGGCGATGGAGACTACGGCAAGCTGGGCCACGGCGACGAGCAGCGCCAACTGCTGCCCAAGAAGGTCGAGGCCTTCGCTGGGCGGCGCGTCATCGCTGTGTCGGCTGGATATAGCCACAGCCTCGCCCTCACCGCCGACGGAGCTGTCTGGAGCTGGGGCAACAGCTACTTTGGCCGGCTGGGCCACGGCGACCAGCAGAACCAGCTGCTTCCCAAGAAGGTCGAGGCCTTTGCTGGGCAGCGCGTCGTCGCTGTGTCGGCAGGAGCGTACCACAGCCTCGCCCTCTCCGCCGACGGCGCCGTCCGGAGCTGGGGTCGTGGACGCTTTGGCATGTTGGGCCACGGCGACCAGCAGGAACAGCTGCTGCCCAAGAAGGTCGAGGCGTTGGCGGGACAGTGCGTCGTCGCTGTGTCGGCGGGAGGCAACCACAACCTCGCCATCACCGCCGACGGCGGCGTCTTTACTTGGGGCAAGGGCGAACACGGCTGCTTAGGCCACGGAGAGGACGAGTCGAACCAGCTGCTGCCCAAGAAGGTCGAGGTGTGGGCGCAGGGGCGCTGAAGAGTGCTTGAGTACGACGTTCACCTTCTCAGAATTCTTTTTTACAGCGGCCTGCTCCTGCTCTCCTTAAAATCCCTGTGTGGTGGCGGCGTGCCGTCTTCCCACCCTTCTATTGGGCCGTCTGTTTTATTTTTTGTGCAGGTGTGAACAGCAGCTCCTGACCACGGCGCCGCAGGCGCCTGTAGTATGTTGATAGGTCCCCCTCAAAGCTCACAGGTCTTGAAAAAAAACTGTTCAGTTATCAAAGGCAAAACATGACGCTCTGCGGTTGGTGCACCCCTCACACTGACACTCCCCTCATCCCTTACCCTTGGCTGAGCACATCTACCTGCGAGCTAGTCTCTCCGCTTTCTCTCCCCTAGTCATCCGCCCGCGCCGCGCGCCATCTAATGGGCGTCTAGTGCAGCCACTGACGGCACTATTCCAAAGGAGCGGTCGATGCCTCGCCTAGAGTTCGGGTGGACTTGCGCACTGCTTAGCCCTGAGGGGGGAGTGTGTGTGAGGTGGTGTAATGTTGTCCCGTTTCAGGCGGCAGGTCAGGGGATTAGCCGGGAGGATTCGGCAGCTCAGCCGGGGGCTGAGCGTCTGCAGGCAGCCTTCCGCTCGCGCCGAAATTCACAGCCCTCCCGGGCCGACGGGGTGCTCCTTGGATCGGGCCCCGCTCCCCGCTTTTCCTGTACCTGGACTGTCCGGGTCAGGAGGGTGAGAGTATTGGGTGGGCGAGGGCAGTACATCTGGCGGGTGGCGATTGAGGGACAGCAAGTGGGTGTTGATTGGGGGGTCAATGGGCGCGCGGGCGGCGCTTCGTCCTGGGCGAGCAGGGGCAGTGGTTAGGAGTCTTGGGCCTGGAGATATGAGGATTGTCGAGATGTCATGCGAGAGCGGTAGGTGGGCTAGCGAGGCTGGAGAGTGGTGTCCGAGGGACAATCTATGGTGAGTCGTCAGTTGGGGCGCGAGACGCGCGGGATTCATTTTCATACAATATAGGGTGCGCTGATTTGTGAGCTGAGCAATGCCTGCAGGGCTTGCGGCGGGGAGTGGGCGGCTTTGTTTTGGTCGAGTGGTCTGGGGTTCGAGCCCGGCCGGGCGAGTAGCGCGGAGCGCTCGCGGCGCAACGCGCGCGTGCGTGTGAGCGTGCAGGGAGCGAGCAGGTAGTGAGCAAGTGAGCGAGGGAGCGAGGGAGCGAGGAAGCGTGGGAGCGGCGCGCGAGCACCGGATTTTTTTGCTGTGCGAGTCGAGTTCGTGGCCGGTGCGCGGGAAGGAACTCCAACTCGCCGAAAACCCGCGCAACCGGCCGATTGTACGACCGAGGTCGCTGATTATACGACCGGAGGTCGCAGAGCCTTGGCGACGCGACGCGCACGTCGCCAAGGAGTTCGTAAAATGTCAGAGTTTTTTTTTCTCACAGGTCTTGAGGTCTTCCCGCGACACGAGCACACGACGCGCAGCGCAGGAGCCGGCTCCCGGCTCTCCGTTCTCCTTTTACGTTTGGGTGCGCCTGCCTGCACTAGAGTAGGCTCTACGTCGGCGTCCTCCGCCCGCTCGCTCTCACGCTCTCCGGCGCGCCCCCCGCCTCGCGCTCCTCGATGTGCCGCGCGGACACCGCCATGTCGAACGCCACCTCGAAGAGCGCGTTGTCGTTGGTGACGCGGCTCGGCAGCGCCTTGAACTCAACGACAACCAGTCAGCATCGTTTGAACATCAGAGAGCAGCTTGGGCCGAAGAGTCGGAGAGTTTTAAGTAAGTAACTGAGTAATTAATTAACTGAGGGCCCAAGGTCAGTCGACCAGAGCCTCGCCGTGCAACGCGCTCTCTCGGGCAATCTCGGGCAATCTCGGGCCAACTCGGGCGATCTCGGGCGATCTCGCCTTGAGCGCGTCGACCAGAGCCTCGCCGTGCAAGGCGCTGATCGCAGGCGCCTCCACGCGCAACACGGCAAGCGCGAGCGCAAAGACGATGCCCAGATGGCCGTCGAGCAAGAGGTTGTCCATGATGCGCGGGGCCTACACGAAGGCTCCACGAAAGGTCTAGGAAAGGTCTAGGGAAGGTCTAGGCTGTCCATGATGCGCGGGGCCAGGTCGCCCGGCGCCGGGTGCGCGCCGCCGACACACATCGTCTGGAACCACGCCGTCGCGTAGAGGCCTACGTAAGACCATGCAATACTGAGTAGAACTGAACGATGTGCCGTTGAGACGTCGCGTAGAGGCCTAGGTAAGATCATGAAATGCTCACTCGATGAAATGGGGTGATTCCTCGTTGCGCCGGCGCGTGCAGGCCGGGGAGGGTGAAGCGGGTCGGGTCCGCCTCGCGCCTGGGGAGAGACGGGGGAGAGATGAGGAGAGATTTTGGGAGATATTGACGTAGACGGGCCGCCTCGCGCCGCATCGCCGCGTAGTCGCACTCGTCCAACCCGAGGAACGTGCCGAGCGCGCCTAAATGCGCGAGATCGCCCGAGATTGCCCGAGATTGCCCGAGATTGCCCGAGATTGCCCGAGATTGCCCGAGATTGCCCGAGATTGCTCGAGGTTGGCCGGAGGTGTGTCTGGCCCGAAGAACGGCGCTGTCGACGTGGCGGGGCGAGGAGGGTATTCTCGTGCAATCTCGTGCAACCTCGTGCAACCTCGTGCAATCTCGCGCAATCTCGGGCGATCTCGGGCGCCGTCGATGTGGGCGGCGAGGAGCGGCATCCGCTTGCGCAGCAGCGCCTCCCAGCAGTCGTAGCAGTGGTGCAGCAGCGGGAAGCCGTCCTCGAAGAGGCGCGCCAAGCCGCACACGTCCAGCAGCGTGGCCAGCACCCAGAAGGCGTCCTCCTGGGGAGAGAGGGGGGAGCTCTGAGCGAGAGATGGGGAGATGTGGCCCGCACCCAGAAGGCATCCTCCTCCGCGAGGTGCAGCAGAAGCACCGCCGCATAGGAGGACATGCCTGACTCGTACAAGACGACACCCGTGACGACTCAAGCATCGAGAGGCACGCCGTTGCGGAAGACGACAGGAGGGCCTAAGCAATGGAGAGACGGCATTCAAGACTCAACGGCTCATAAAAGCGCCGCCGCAGAGGGCGACGTGCCCTGCGTGTAGCCGAGCGCGCGGTTGTGGCTCGCGTACGCGCGGAGGACGCGGCCGAGTGCCGCCTGCCCTTAATTCGCCGTAATCAGCCTCAATTTCGCCTTAATTGGCCTTAATGAAGGAGGACGCGGCCGAGTGCCGCCTGCCCTTAATTCGCCGTAATCAGCCTCAATTTCGCCTTAATTGGCCTTAATGAAGGAGGACGCGGCCGAGTGCCGCCCGCCCGTATGGTAGGGTAAACTGCTCCACACACACGAGGTGGTGGGGTAAGGGCCAGGCTAGTCCCTCGCGTCTCCACGTCTGACGACAGGAGCTGGCGCGGCACTAAAGGTGCAAGGCCCGGCGCGCGTGGGTGGGCGTGTGTGTGCCTGCCCGTCGCCGCGGCCGCGCCGAAAGTAGATGTGCCCGCCCATCGTGCGCGGCACGTCCTAATTAGTCATTGATTAACTGTTAAGTAACTGCTAATGAGCTCGTGAAGCCCATCGTGCGCGGCACGTCCTTGGCGATCTGCTCGAAGCAGCGGCCGCCCTCTTCAGCCCGGCTCGCGCACAGCGTCGCATACAGCCCGTCCACACGGAAGCCCGGTGGCGCTCGCGCCGCCGCCATCGCCATCCAGACGCGCCCCCGCACGGCAGCCGGCACGCCGCGGCGGACCTTCTCGGTGAACCTCGGTGAATCTCGGTGAATCTCGAACGTTGCTCACTCACGCCTCTAGCACGCCGCGCCGCGCCGTCTCTCGGTACTTGTCGGGAAAGCGCTGATCTCGGCGAATCTCGGCAAATCTCGGCGAATCTCGGCTCATCTCGGCGAATCTCTCAACACAGCGCACCTTCTCCTTGTACCGTTCGGGCCTCGACTGCGAAAACGCGCGCCACGCCTAGTGTCGTTGTCTTGTGGCTCTGTGTGTCGCTCCTGTGTGTGTGGCCGTCATCGCCCGTCCCGCGTCCACCCATACCGCGCTGGTGACCCAGCCGTTGGTCGGACTGTGCCTCGCCTTCCCATCTATCTGTCTACGCCTTGGCCGAGCCGACACGCTTCTGCCACTTTCGGACGTCGGCGGACTCTCGGAGCGCGTCCGAGCGGCTGGGCGTGCGGGTCGCGAGCTGCTCCGGGGTGACGATGAAGCCTGGTGCAGATCAGTGAACGGATCATGCAGATCCAACTGATCAATGCGGCTCCGGGGTGGCGATGAAGCCGTTCCGGTCGATGAGCGGTGAGAACACGGCCTATTCATTAGTCTCATTCATTGTTCATTGTTCATTGTTCATTATTATGAAGCCGTTCCGGTCGATGAGCGGTGAGAACACGGCCTCCACGTCCTCCTTTGCCGAGCAGAGGAAGTCGCAGGCCTGCTGCGGCGTCGGGCGCGAGAGCCGACGGCCGCCGCCGGCGAGGGCGACGAGGCGCGCGCCCGGCCGGAGCTCAGACGAGGTGCTGGCGAGCGATCCGGGCTCGATCGAGGCGACAGTCGCCATGCCGCCGTCGGGCGACGCGGTGAGCACCAGGCCGAGCGGCGTGGAAGGCAGCGGCTTCGTCCAACGGCAGCGGCAAAGCTCGCTCAGCGGCAGGTCCGCGTCGACGTCGCCCTGCGGGGCCACGAGAGGGTCGGCAGCAGGCACGGCGTGCGGGGCTGAGACACCGCAGACCTCACCGAGAGGAGCGAGACGAGGTCGGCGAGCAATTCCTCCTGTGTTCCTCCGCTCGGCCCGGCGGCGCCAGCTGGCGGGAGCCACCTCGCCTGATGTGCTCGCCCGCGGTGCGCCATCGACCCTGGGACGGCGACGAGCGATGAAGGCGGTGGACTTCGGCAAAAAAGAATTTTTTCAAGCCACGCCCTCGCACAACACTGGGCACGGGGCTAGCGCACCACACTCCTCTCCTTAAAATCCCTGTGTGGTGGCGGCGTGCCGTCCTCCCATCCCTCCCTTGGGTTGTCTGTTTGCTTTCTTTCTTTCTTTTACTGGGCACGGGACTGGCGCGCACTGGCACTAACACAGGTACACCACGGGAGCCGCCTAAGCGACTCCTGCGAGGGTGGCGAGGCACTTAGCTCCGTGCACCCGCCCACCCCCGCCACAGGCAAGCTCATTCACGACCTGCTCTGCGATGGCCGTGTGAACGACTGAGATGCGCTGCTTCTGCAGCCCCAGCCAGCTCTTGGTGGTCCAAGTCACCTCATCGAGGTACTGGGCCCGCGTCAGCTTGTTCTGTAGCACGTCCGCCGCTCTCCGGAGGATCTCACGGACCCCCTTTCCGAACCCGCCGAACGATTCGAACAGCAGCAGCTGCACTTCGACGCCCTTGTCTTCCCTGGCGTAGCGATAATCCCCGCCGTAGGACGGTATGCGGCGGTCGCCGCCCACCACCCTGCTTGTGCAAAAAAGAATTGAAAAACAGAACTCTCTCTACCGACACAGGTTCGACACAGGTACCAAAAGGAGCCATACGTATTCTGCAAAGGGGTGTGAACGGAGAGAGCAAACTCCTGGCAGCTCCCACAGTCGAAATGTGCGCCAGCTGCCCGCTCACCTGTGTCACGCCGCCGCGCACGCACCTCGCTATGTGCTCGCGCGAGCTCCCGCCCGAGCCTCCAGCTCGGTTTCCCACTGCTGCGGAGCCGATCGCTTTTCCTCGGCGCTCGCGTCGAGCCGAGCTCTCGGCACTCTACGGCGGGCGTCGCTGTGCGGGGCGCCCGTTTCCTGCTGGCCCGAGCGGAAAGCTCCACGTGCCCGCGCGAGCTCCGGGCCGAGCCTCCAGCTCGGCGTCCCACTGCTGAGGAGCCGATCGTCGTCCGTCGGTGCTCTCGAGGAGCCGAGCTCCTTGGCCTGCGGCCGGCGACGCTGCAGGACGGCGCGCGCGCACCCCCCCCTCCCTCACCCGCGCGCTCTTCCGCCGGCGGCGCACACGCACCCCTCGCCCCGGCGCTCTTCCGCGGCGCAGCCCCCCCCCCCCCCTCCCTCGATCTCGCGGCGAGAGCACGAGCGCGCCGTCCCCCGGCGACGCGCCGCCACGCTCTTCCTTAGGTCGTCCTCCGAGATATCGGTGCCGGACCGGCGGGGCGGGGGCGGGGTGGCGTCGGAGCAAGTGTCTCGGCCTTCGGTCGACGGAGCGGCGACCCGCGAGTACGCTTCGTGGGCGCCCGACGAGGGTGGTGCTGCTGTCGCTCTGCCGCGTGCGCAGGCGTGCGCAGGCGTGCCGAGGTCTCGCGACGGCACTCAGCCCTTCGCTGGGCGTGTGGGACGCCGGGTACGACGAGCACGGCTTCTGGTCCGTCGAGGCTGCCCGCGCGGCGCGCGACGCGGCGGCGGCGCTTGCGCTGGACGCCGCCGACGGCGGCGCGGGGGCGGCGCGGGGGCGGCAGGCGCGGGGGCGGCAGCCGGCCCAGCGGGTCGCGGCCCTCCGCCCCCGCGGCGTCGTTGGAGGGCGAGCACCTCGAGTACCTACGGCGGCGGGGTGCGCCGTGGGGCGAGCCGCCCGTCGCGGGCGCCGCCGCGCCGCCGGAAGGGGCGAGGCGGCGAGCGAGGATCGTCGACTTTTGGCCGGGGGGCGCTCTCGACACTTACCGGCTGAGGTCACGTCGTCGGGCGCGTCGACGGGCTGGTTGGCCATGGTCCGCACGGCGGGGCGGCTGCGCCGCCAGGACTCGCGCGTCGCTGCACGCGGCCTGCAGAAGGAATGACAGCTCGGCGGCAAGGCTTTTCTTGCGCCGGGACGGCTAGGCTTTTTGTGAGACGCCGCTCGCGGAAATCGAGGAAGGCTGGGACTTTTCTTTTCTTGGGAAACGGGAGTGTTGGTTTAGAAGAGGCTGGCCAGCGACTGGACACACCGGCATGGGGGGACGCAAGCAAGGACGGGGATTGGAGGTTGTAGAGAGATTTAACTTTTAAGCACAGCTCAACGAGGCGAAATAAAATTAGAAAGAAATGTACTCCCTCCCTCCCTCCCTCCCTCTCTCTCTCTCTCTCTCTCTCTCTCTCTCTCTCTCTCTCTCTCTCTCTCTCTCTCTCTCTCTCTAAACCGTCTCACTCAAAATCTCTCTCTTTCTATCTCGGCTCTCTCTCTCTCTCTCTCTCTCTCTCTCTCTCTCTCTCTCTCTGTCTCTCTCTCTCTCATGTCTCAAAATCTCTCTCTCAGAAGCGGAGCACACACGAAGATCGAAGTCGGCACAACAAAAATCCCCTTTGCAGCCAAGCCTCCAAGGCACCTCATTTTCGTTCGCTTCTCCCTCGGGCCAAAGGAATTCACTATTGTGACCCCGTCGGCAGTTACGCTCAGTCGACACCCCGTGATGGAAGCCTCCATCTACCAACCATCCTCTTGACCAGAGACACCTCACATGACCCCACGCACGGTCTCGTCCGTGCCTCGCCGGCCGGCGAGATTGCTAGAGGTAGAGCAAGCCTGCTCTAGCCTCGCACGTCACTTCCTGTCGTCTGTTGTTTGTTTGTGCCCTTGTTTGTTTCTCTTGGCACCTTGGAGTGCTGGGGGGGGCGACAGGAAGGATGTGGCCCTGAGTTATGTGTACGCCAACCCAGGGTGTGTGGCAGCCAGCTGGCTGTGTGTCTTGTGAGCTTGTTTGTGTCTGTGTGTCGTTCGTGCGTGCCGTCATCATCTGTCCTGCGTCCACCCATACCGCGTTGGTGTCCAGTCCGAGCCTGGCTGTTCTTCACCTTTCTACCTACCTACCTATCCTCTGGGCAGAGTACTCCCAGTACATGCAGATGTTACGCTGCTTCTGCGCCCCAGCCAATTCTTAGTGGTCCAAGTCACCTCATCGAGGTATACTGGGCCCGCAAAAAAGAAAAGTGGCCGCCCGCATGTGTGTGAATAATACATGTCTCTGCTCGTCTTCCTGCTCCTCGCTCAGCCGGGCGGCAAAACGGGTGGTGCTGAGGCGTCGCCGCCGGAGCAGCTTGATCGCCTGGCTGCGATGCCAACGACACCGGCACCGACACAACGTGCAGCAATCTGTATCGCCGGCCAGTTTCGATCTTTCCGTGCCACCCAGCAGTCCATCCGTACCTTTGTGCTCGGCGCGTTCCCAGCAGCGGACACGTTTCTCTTCGTGAACCTGCAAGACTCCGGCAAGGGTGGAAAGGCGACGCACTCACATGCCGAGCTGAAGCTGATCGCAAGAGCACTCTCAGCCACAGCTGTGCGCACATACCAGCAAGCGACGTATGATTTGCAGTCGAGCCAGTGGAATGCCGGGAAGTGCGCGTGGAAAGCAAATGGCCAGCGCGAGGGAGTCAATTTCTGGTCTGTGAAGGAGTGCTTCAGCGACGTTTTTGCGCATGAACGGGCTCACGGCATGCTCTATACTTGGGTGGTGCGCACTCGGCCTGATACAATGTTTGCTGCAGTAACACGAGAGGCGATCCGCACTGCTGTGCTTCTCGCAACGCCCGGGCGCAGTGGGCAAGCTTGGATCCACCGTGGCACCGCATCTGACGCATTCTGCGTTCTAACGAGAGCAGCAGCGGAGGCGTACGCAGGCACCTACGAGAGCGCACGAGCAAACTGCAGTGGGCTGCCTACGCACAGCGTGTGCTCGGCCGCGCGGATGGGGGTGGGGGCCGTGGAGATGGCAGCTGAGTGCCTCTTCTATCGCAATCTGGTACGGGCCAGCGTGGACGTGGTGTTCGACGAGCGAATGCACCCGGTAATCACGCGGCTGGAGGATAGCCCATGGGACAGCCCTGGCGGAGGCGGAAGCCGAGTGGCGCTACAAGGTCGGACGCGGCATGGCCGAGAAGAGCTGCCTGCCCTGCTGGCCGCTCCTTCTGCTCAAGCTCTCGGCGCCTGCGAGTTTAAGCTCTCACCAAACGCCAGCCTGTCGGGCGCAGGCAAGGCGTGGGAGTACTACCACTTTCTGATCGACTTCCTCCCGCGAATCTTCCAAGCGACTCGGCGCTGCAGAAGAGCGCACATCCTCGCCCCTGCTCGAGAGGACCACACATTCCTTGTGGCCCACCCCTCCCACACGGCGATGGACCACACGCTCACCCTCGAGGCCGTCTTGAGCACCAGCGTGCGCATCGATGAGGCGGACGAGGCAACGCTCTTGCGCTCGGGCGCGGAGCTGATACCCTTCCCCGCCACGAGGTTCCCTGTGGGCGTCAACATCGAGAACGACTCGGCGCTTTACCAAGAGCTGCGTCAACGGGTGCTGCACGAGCTGCTGCCGGACTCTGAGCGCCCCCTGTCAACCGAGCGCTTGCACGTTGTGCTCATACAGCGATCCATTCCGCTGGGGTCGCTCAGGGGATGGGCGACCGGCAGCGCGAGGCGGCACCTCCCGCCGCGCTTCTTCCAAGAGGCGAGGGAGCATGCGCATGCCCGCCGCTACCACCTCAGCGTCGTGAAGCTCGAGAACATGGGGTTCTTGGAGCAGGTATGGGCATTCTCGGCCGCGCACGTCGTGGTTGGACTGCACGGGGCTGGGCTTGCGAACATCCTCTGGTGCAAACCGCGTGCGCTCGTCATCGAGGTTGGAAGGAACGGCAGGCCGTGCTTCCTCAACCTGGCGACCACGCTGGGCCTGAGGATCAAGAGCCTCGACGTGCCTCCACACGGCTGGTCGCGACTCGACTTTGGCAGGGTGGGCGCTGAGCTTGACGCTTTAATCGAGTCCGGAGAAGCACAAGCCACCTGGAAGCCAGTTGGCAGCCCTGATGCCGCCCCTGATGCCGCTCAAAGAAGGCACCAGGTTGCTGCACCAATCCACTTAGCAGGGGCGACCGTGGGATTGGGCGGTGCACCAGCAGCTCAGGGCATGCAGCGCCATTTGAACGCCTCGCGAGTCGCGGAAGCGTTCAATACGACGCTTGTTTGCCTCATCGGCACGGTTCGTGGCGGGCACTGGGCGTGGGATTCGCTGCGACACAAGGTCTTGGCGCCGCTTCAAGCTGACCTCGCCGTGCTCCTATCGTTCAGCGCAGTCGTCGGCGGCGCGTTGACTCCCAAGCACGTGTGGCGCATGCCGGAGTTTCGAGATTGGGCAGACGCGATCGAGGAAAAGCTTGGTCGCGGTTGGGACGCGAGGGTGAAGCTGCGGGACAATGTCTGGGGACCGCTGAGTGGCCACAGAGGTTCGGGCGCGATCACATTCTTTTCCCGTCTGGTGCTCAAGAGCTACCTGGACAGCCTGGTCGGGCACGTGTACGATCAAGTCATCGTCACTCGATGGGACCACGTGTACACCTGCGCCCATCCCCGCCTTGCGTTGCTGCCGGGTGCGGTTTATGTGCCGGAGAAGGAGGGATACGGCGGCGTCACTGACAGGCACACGGTGTTCGCGTTTCGCGACCGTGAGAGGGTCTTGGGGGTGCTGCAATGGCTTGTGCACCACGACTCTCCCGAGCTGAAAAGCCCCGAGCGCGCGCTGCAGCACTTCTACCACGCAAGTGGTCTCAAGGTGCACACCTTTGGGAGGACCATGTTCATCGTGGCGCGAAGAGGCGTAGATGAGAGCAGATGGCGCAGGCCGAACCCCGAGTGGAATTGCCACAGAAGCCCCATCGATGGCATGGTTGCCCTGAAGTACGTGCAGGAGTACGCCGCCGCCATGCGGACGTGTGCGGCAGACGCAGACTCTGTGTGCCCTTTGTATGAACGGTTCAAGCGGAGCTTGACAGGGCTCCACGCACGGCCGGGGTACCTCAGTAGACTCAGGCGTAGGGGTGAGGCTGAGGGCAAGCGCCTCGGAAGTAAGATCCCTTGGCGATCTGGGTCGCGCATTTAAACGAAAGGACGCACAAGTATCTGATTAATTCGTAAGAATCGCATGTCGCATCATTGAGCTGCACGGTATATGGGCGTGCGCATGCGATACTTAATTTATTCTTATGGTGCCTCTACAAGTACAGCGTACACAGCGTACAGCGTACAGGTGGGTCCGGCTCCCACCTCCCATACCGGCACCAACTTGATTCGTAGATGCGCGTCTCACGGCCGGACCGCGGGACGGGGAGGGAGGGGGGTGGATCCGTAAATCCGTAAGTCCGTAAATCGTGTAACAAAAACCACGAGAGACTCCCCCGCCGCACCCAGCTACAAGGTAGGCAGAGACACAGCACTCGCGACACGCTGAGAAGCAGGCTGGCCTCTCCAATGCTCGCGCAACGCTGTCTGGCGTCGTCGTCGAGTGCGGCGAGCTCGGCGGCGCCATCCATGAAGTTCGACATCGTCGACGGCCCCCACGCCGCATACACCTTCGTGCGCACCGCCTCAGCCAGAAAGCAGCCGTCATGGTGCAGCAGCATTGGCACGTTGCCCGCCCAGCCCGCATGCGACACGTTGGAGTCGCTCTCGGCGGCGGCGCGGCGGTGGACGTCGTTGGTGACGTAGTCATTGTACGTCGCCCGCAGCGCCGTCCCTGAATTCCAGAACGGCTCGTCGCTTATGTCGGCTGCCCCCCTCGGCAGCAACGCACGCACCACACCACGCACGTCCTGCGCCCAGGCGGCCTCGTCGTGCGACGCTAGCCCCTCGACGATCACGATGCCGTGCTCGAAGTAGGCCTCGAAGAGCGCGCGCAGCTGGGCAGGTTCGCCTCCCGCGCCGCCGATCGCCGAGAGAGCGAACCGACGGGGCACAAACCCCTTCGCCGCGCTCCACGGCTCTGCTGTCGGTCGCGGCTGGTGCAGCGGCAGGAGGGCACTGCCCGGATACGCAGCTTGCAAGGCCATCTTGGCGCGAACGGTGTCGTCGACCTCGTCAGCGTGGGCAGTGACGCGCGCCCACCAGTAGGGCGTGCGGCGCAGCACCCGTTCTACCATCGGCACGAAGAATTCGGACGGCAGCGACGGGTAGTCTGGGTCGAAGGCCGCCTGGTCCACCTCGCAAAAGTTGACGGTGGCGTTGAAGTGCGGATGGCTGGCGAACATTTGGCGGGGCAAATCCTTCTCTACGGGGTCGGCGCCCCACGCATGGCCATAGTGGTAGAATTGGAATACCTCGTGGTGCGCCAGCAGCCACGTCGTGCGCGGTGTCACGTACGGCCGCAGGATGCTGGCCACCACCTCGCCGTGAGCGTTCGGCACCATTAGCTCGCCTATGTCGTGGAGGAGTGCGGCCACGACAAGCTCCTCGCTCGCCCCGATGCGAAGCATCCTCGTCGCCATCTGCACTCCGTGCTCGTGCAAGTCGACCACAACGTTGGGTGCCTGGCCGCGCTGCGCATCGAGGAGGCCAAGGAGGCGCTCTGCGTGCCGGCGTGGCTCCTGCAGCTGGCCGAACGCGTCGTCGACGAGCAAGGCGTCTTCGCGACTCATCGCCCTGAGCGATCTGAAGCCGCCCGCCCCATCGTCCCCCGCCGCGGCCAACACAACCGTCCACAGATGCGCTAGCCGCACTGCCCTGCATTTCGGGGGATTCCAGGCCCAACCACCCGCCCTTTTTGCATTTCGGTGAGTATAATACGGGATCATAGGGAGCGAGGATTGGTGTGACGCGATCCACGCAGGCGTGTTTTCTGGCGGCCGACCGTCAGTGCACGGAGTTGCCCCTTCTCCGACTGCCCCGGCTAGTTCCCGAGGTCGTCGGGTGTGACCCCTGCGTCCCCCGAGACCTAGCGCGGGTGGGTTGGAAGGGGGCTCGCTGCAAGGAAGGGCGGTGTAAGAAGCCGATCCCCGTAGTCCGCCTGGACCACCAAGAACTGGCTAGGGCTGCAGAAGCAGCGTATCTCAGTCGTTCTTCACACGGCCATCTCGCAGAGCAGATTGTGAATGAGCTTGCCTGCGGCGAGGGAGGGGGGCGCCAACTACACGAGATGCAATCCTACCCGAGATTACCCGAGATTACCGGAGATTGTCCGAGATTACCCGGTACTACTAATACTGTGTGTGTTTGCCCGTGCGCACGAGTCAACCACCCGAGATTCAATATTTCCCGAGATTACCCGAGATAGCCCGAGACTACTCAAGGTCTAGAACGCACACACCCTCCGCGTCCTCTCAGCTTTTGTCCCGTCTCTACTGACTCTTCTCTGTTTACCCGTCTTGTTCTTTCCCCTTGGAGCCCTACGCCGCTTCCCCTCAGCCTTCTCTTCAGTCTCTGCACACACACACAACCCTTCCCCCCAACGCGGCCTGAACCCATCCCGGGGGCACCATTCCCCAGGAGTTGCGCGCCGCCAGCAGCGTTAATGCTGGCGTCGGTCCGCTCCGCACTCGCCTCTCACCCTCGCGCCGCCGCCGCGCTCGCCGCCCTCTGCGGTTCCATTTCTGGCCTTTGGTTCGGCGTTTGGGTCGGCGTCGCCGCCGGGCTGCGCCTACGGCTCTCGCCGCCAGTCGCGCACCCGCCGGGCTCCGAGGCGAGCTAGCCGATGCGGTGTGGCGAGACACACGGGCGGTCTCACTTGGCCTCTACGCATCAGGCGCACGAGATCGAGACTCACATCCGCGAGACGCAGCCGCCGGCAAACCTCCTCGGCATCGGCGTCGCCGAGGTCGACGAGGGCTCGCTCGCGCTGCACGCGCCGCTCGAGCTCAACCACAACGTGCATGGCACCGCGTTCGCCGGCAGCCTCTACTCGGTCGGCGTGCTCGCATCCTACTACCTCGGCCGCTAACCCTAACCCTAACCCTAACCCTGACCCTGACCCTAACCCTAGGTCAGCGTGCTCGCATCCTACTACCTCGGCCGCGCTTGGGTGCGGAGGCAGCCGCACGGGTCGCTGCCGCCGCAGCTGGAGCTCGTTGCAAAGGCGGGCAGCATCAGCTATCGCAGGCCGCTCAAGGGGGAGAGAATCATCGCGCGCTCGCAGCTGCCAGCAGAGGCGGCGCTGCGAGAGTTTGCGCACCGCCTGCGCTCCTAGAAGCGGAGTACGTATTCATGTCTCCCAACCAGCCCTCGAGAGACACGCATTCCGGTGTATTCGACCGTGTTCCGCTGTATTCACGGTCTTCCTATCCGTTGTCTTCACGCGGTGCTCTCAATACGCTGCACAACACCGTCTTCCCGCCCCGACGCTGGCGTATTCAGCACGCAGGCCTGCGCTCCGCCGGCAAGGCGAGCTGCCAGATTGGCGGAATGGTGCTCGGCGACGCGGACGGGAAGCCGGCGTGCGAGTATAGCATCGAGGCGGTGTGCCATGATGGAGGCCGCTCGCAGGTGTGAACGGCGCCTCTTCACGGGGCTGCGGCTGTGAACCTTAGGTGTGCGCCTACGTCAAGGACGCCGCCGCCGCCGCCTCTCCCGCCGCCACCTCTCCCGCCGCCACCTCTCCCGCCGCCTCTCCCTCCGCCGCCAGCTCCTCGGCCGCCGCCGCCGCCGCCGCCCGAGAGCCTCGCGCGCCCGGCCGCTCCGCGTCGCTGGCAGAGGCGGTGGCCTCCAAGGTGGTTGCGGACCGGGCGGCGGCGGGGGCACACGGGCCGGAGGGGCGGGAGGGGGTCGAGGTGTGAGAGAGCTGTTTTGGGGGTCCGCCCGCAGGATCTCGCGGAGCCCGCACAGGCGCTCTGGACCCATTTCCGGCATTTGTTGTGAGTCTGTGGGCGGTGCAGTCTCTTTTATGACATTTGCGGAGAGGCGGTGCCCCTGCCCGGCAGCGGCGCAGACGGAGTTTTTATAGGAGCGAGAGAGAGGATGCAGCTAACGAAGCAAGTTCGAAGTGGAGATGGTACACACACCCCTTACACCTCCGCGCCACACCGCACACGCGGTCGCGGAGAGTTTTGCGACACTAACTTTCACATTTTCTTTCACGGCACCGCAGGAGTCATTCCTCAGTGTCAGCAGGTCTCCGTAGCGCTAGGCGGCCGGGAGCGTCCAGGAGGTCTCGCCGGAGGTTGCGTGGTAATAGTACTCGCGCCCCTCGGGCGATGTCGCGCGCCTGTCCAAGAGCGGCCCGGAGGTCAGATGCGGTGCCGATTCCTGCTGCGTCGATTGCTGTGCCGAGTCACTGGTCTCGGAGGTGTTCAAGGCACACGCAGCTGTCTCTCTCGTGAACCTGCACAGATGCATGCACATGCACATGTGTTGGGCTTCTTGGAGGTGGAGCAGGGAGGGGGAGGGAGGGAGGAGGAGGAGGAGGAGGAGGGAGGAGGAGGAGGAGAGGGAGGAGCAGGGAGGAGGAGGATCACCACCGCTCGAGCCGTGGTTGCGCTGCCGCTCGGGGTAGGAGGGGGGCATCTAGGCTCACGCGCTTCCACCCCTCGGGCAGCGGAGGACCCACGCCTGGTGGCGGGCCCTGCGGTGGCGCGCCCCACGCAGCGCCGCCCGCCTCGCCGCCGCCGCCGCCGCCGCCGCCGCCGCCGCCGCCGCCGCCGCCGCCACTGCCGCCGTCCGCCGCCGTGCTGCCTGGCTTGAGCGCCTCCATCGTGGCCCGCTTGGCTGCGATCTCGCCCTCTAGCTCGCGCACGCGCTCGCGGCACGCGTAGAAGAGCCGCTCCGTCGCCGCCTTGTCCTCAGCAGCCATGCAGTCATACACCTCGCGGCCAAAGGACTCCTTGATGCCGCCGATCTTGCGCTCGATGAGCACAATCTGCGCGCAGGGCCGGCGCGGTCAGCCGAGCGCGCTACTGCGGCAGCGGAGTGCCCGTGGCTGCGGACCTCTCCCTTGAGCTTCGTCGACTTTGCAAACGCCTCTGTCTCGTTTGCGGCGCGCTTGAAGCCCATCGTCATCTTGGCGAGGCCGCTGCCGATGCCCTCCTTGGCCTTCTCCTGCCAGTCGGCGTGCGCCATGCTGGGCCTTGAGCGCCTTGTGCCTTCGAAAAAAAGAATTTTAGGCGTTTTCCAAAGAGAATTTTCCAACAAAGCGGGTCGCACAACACGATTCACGCGACAGGCAAGGCACGGGCGACGGCTTCCTCAGAAGCCGTCGTCCTCACCGTAGCCGTCGTCGGACCCCCAATCAGAGGGACAGGGTCGAATCCCGTGGTGCTCGCCGAAAAGACCATCCCCATCCCACTCCCCCTCATCCCACCCCCCCCCCCCACCCGCGCGCCTACCCCGCCGATGGCCGGTGGGGCGCGCTCTCGGCGGTCCCCTGCAGGTGAGGGAAAGGCACAACACAGCGAACAATGGGCGTGCCCATTCCGGAGTGGTTCGATCCCACGCAAACCCGAGACGGTGACGAGAAGCGTTCCGGTGATCTCAGGCCCAGTGAGGTAGTGCACCGGTCTAACTCGGATCCTGCTGAACAAGTTCCTCTTGTAGCTCGATCGGTCACACCGCCATCGCCGTCGGGGAGAGGGGGGACGACACTGCTTCGGCAGCGTGCACCTCGATCCTGTACCGTGTTTGTTATGACCCACCCCAATGAACACACCAGTGAGGGAGGGCGAGACGATCGAGGGGTCCCGTACCATGCGGAATCGACCCTATCCAGTGCTCAAGTGCTCAAGCTTAGAGAAGAAGGCGAGGCGCGGGTCGAGTACCTCTACTACAACCTCAACTCCGACGGCGAGCTGCTCGTGCTGCAACACGAGGCGTACCTCGCGTCGATGCGCGAGGTCGCCTTCACCTTCACCACGGCCGACACACACGCAAAGAAATGAGTTTGTGTCTTGTTCCGTCCGATTGTTGGGGCTAACCTCGGAATGTAACACCAGAATGGCTGTGCTGGCTCCTTCACAGCCATCTTCCTAAGGATGGCTGAGCTAGCTGCAGTGCAGCCACAGTCTAATGGCTGCAATACACACACGGCAGCCATCGCACATACGCCGGCGGAGAGGGCGAGGGCGGTCTGGTAGAAGCGTTGGCCTGGTATGGGAGGGGACACGCGCAGAGTGAGGCGTATGTCAGCGGCGTAGGACGAGAGATGTGTGCCACATACCGCAAAACGCGAGCAGGACGAGCACAGCGAGAGCGTCGACGAGGGGAGGCGGTAGGTCGTCGAACGTGCGTGGAGGCAAGTCCACTGGAGGGCGAGGGAGGCGCGCCGGGAGGAGCGGAGGGTGGAAAGACGCTTGAATTTGGGTACAATGTATATACATACGTGGCCCCAGCGAGTTGTTAGAAAACCTGCAAGTCGTTGCTCTCGGCGCTGAGCCGCTGTACCGATGTTTTCTTTTTTGCTGTCGTAGTACTGTTCTTTTTTGTTACGTACGGGTGGTACGGGTGGAAGAGAGCGATCTGTCGTTACTCTACCGAGGCCCGACTAACTAACATACGTGCATGCATGCCCATCCACCCGCATACCACACGACCATCCTATGTTACATTCTCCGACTGGTACTGCTGGCGGTACTGGAACTGGTGTCAAGCTGTCACGACCCGTTTGTCGTTAGTGTGACCAAGGGTTATTGGCCCGCCGCCGTGAGTTCCACACGCGGGCCCACGCGACAGCAACACAGAGAACGACCACCGCTAGAAGCAGGCCGAGCCGAACTGCCAGCCATGGCATGGTTGCAGGCACTGGCACTGCAAACAAGCTTGCAATGATTGCTGGCACGCCGAGCGGCCATATCAGCATAATCACCAGCGGGTTGCGCAAAAAGAGTTGAAAATAGGCCTGATCCGACGGGTTGAGCCACACGGATGCATGGACGAATGTCATTGTGCAGAAGGCGTCGGCAGCCACGTTTAGGAGCGCGCGCCACTTTGACCGCTGTGAGAGGAAGGTCCGCTCGCGCAAAAGCGGCCACATGCCTGCTATGACAATGACGCAGCGTAAAATGCACCCTGCGAAGGCTTCGAGCAGGTTGTCGCACGAAAGCGATCCGGAGGCATACCGGTACTGACTGCCAAAGGCAACCATGAAGCTTTCCGGGGCGATGTTGACGGCGAACACGGCGAGCCCGAGGACCGCCGCATACAAACGGTTGAATAGCCACACTAAGAAGCGATGCGAACCCGCGTTCCCGACTGTAGCCGATTCCTCCGATTCCTCCGCGAGAAGAGCCGCGATTGCCGCGCCCACCTCCTCGCGCTGCTCAACAGGTAAGAGAAATAGCGCGAGGAGGTTATCGATAAAGGTGGCAAATGTGATTGCGAGCCCATCGAGCAGGAATTGGGTGCACGTCTCATCGTTGAAAAGGAGGGCGCACGTTGCACTCATAAGGCAGAACGGCAGGGAAAACATGCGCATGCGAACGTGAACCCAGCCCAAGCAGCGCACCCACACTGGAAGCTCTAGTCCATGAGCACGCGTGCGGTGGCGGAGCAGCCGCTTCTCCAGTGCAGCCTCGTCCCAGTCCTCGGTGAGCGGCATAAGGATCAGCAGCACTACGAAGACGAGTACGAGGTAGTGCGTCGCGGCGAGGCGGCTCTGCCGTACGACGATATGGTCACACCGCAGCGGCATGATGTCGGTGGCGTCGCAGTGGGCCGCAGCCTCTCGCGCCCACTGCTCGCCGCTCAAGTCCTCGGCGGCACTGCGATCGAACCAGCCGACGCCAATGGCGAAGCTGTGCAGGCAGCGGAGCGGCGAGAGGTCGGTGAGCTAGGAGAGGGGGGACTAACTAGCATGCTAGCGTTCGGGGCCGCACCTCGAGTTGCTGTATATGTCGACGTATGGTCCAAGCACGTGACGCCGGCTGTCCAGCGCCATGATGATTCCGGATATGTTCTCCGCCGTCAGCCGCATCCAAAAACAGTCGACGCATAAGCCGGGCTCCTCGTTCTCGTGCCGCCACGGCTGCCGCGTGATTGGCTCCCCAAATTTATAAAAATCCTTTGGGCTGCAATACTCTCCAACCGCGCAGTGATCGTGATTCGAGCAGCGTGGGGACCCAGCCTCGTAAGCGACCGCGTACATGATCGCCGACTGGCCACACATTAGGAGGATGGACAGAAGCAGCGGGATGGCCGCCGAGAGGGAGGCGCCTGGAGCGGTAGCCTTGACGAACGCCCACGCATGAATGCCACCCAAGCCAACAGAGTCGTAGCGGGCGAGAGGCCGCTGGTGGATGTGTGCGTCGGCGATTGAGAATGCGACTGTGCCTCGCTCGATCACGCTGGGTGCCGAAGGCTGGCGCATGATCTCCTCTTCATCGGTGCTGGTGCTCGCGTCGACCTGGGCCTGGGCTGGCGACGTCAGTGAGAACCATGCCCACCGTGAAGGCACAGCCGAAACCGGTGAGAACCATGCCCACCGTGAAGGCACAGCCGAAACCGTGAGCATCGATCAGCGACGGCGAGCACCCCACTGGAGACGAACGAGCTCGGAGCGTGAGGTGCGGAGCGTGAGGTGCGGAATTGCAGGTTGTGGAAAACAAACCTGGAATCGATGTTGGCTTGTTCCAATAGGAGCGAGGCCTCTTCCGTTGGGGGACCGAGTGAATGAATAGGAAACGAGGGTTTCCCATTGTGACCCGCTCCTGCGCGAGCGTGACACTGCACTTGGCGCCGAGCGCCCGCGGCTCAGACCTTGTGTGCAAGCCGACCCTCGGTGCAAGCACCGGTCCGGACCGATGGCGCTCGGTGTGGAGCAAGCAAGACCCCCCCCCCCCCGCCCATCGGCGCGCGCCCGAGGTTCAAACGGCCGCCAGGAGCACCAAGAGGACTCCTCATGGCTATGACCAAGTGGGCTTCGACCGGCCTCGGCTGGGGGGGCGAATTGTCCCGGCTGCGGACGCGTTCTGCAGCCCCCTGGGCGTGGGTCAGCACCCCAAAACTGCCCCTCGGCGGCATACAGCACTGCCAGCCAGCCTCTTCCTCCTCCTAAGGGCTGTACTATAGGCCATATTGCGCCGCCTCCTACTGGCAGCCGGGCGGGCGCGCGCCGCGGGCGCCTCGGCGCGCGCACGGCTCGCAAAGTTCGAACGAGTACTGCCGCCCGGCCGCCTCAAGGCTGCCGGGCGGCAGTACTCGCCTAGCAGCAGCAGCAGCAGAGAGAGGCGCCAATTTTGAGGTTGCCCGAGACAGCCTGGAGATGGCCCCGCGTTGTAGCCCCGCGGTGCCGGCGCCTCACATCTCAGCATCCAGGGGCCAGTTCCGCCGCGCAGTCGGGCACAGCTTTGTCGACAAAGAGCTTGATCAAAATTTCGCCGAAGAAGCGGCACCGGCTGCACGCCGGGATGAACCCGGACCGATCCCATTGTTCACAACCGCCGCGGCGAGCCGCCGCGGGCCCACAGGAGGGCTCGGAGCCGCGGCACCGGTCCGCGCCGCCAGCGGGGCGAGAGCACCAGCCTACAACCTGCCGATATGGCAGTTGCGACGGCGCTTTCACACATTAACTTGGAGCACTTGGAGTGCAGTCATTAGTCCAGGGCCGGGGAACTGAGAGCCGCACCCAGCGAGCCGGACGATCGGGATCGGGCTACGGGCTAGAGAGCCCTGACCCCTAGCTAGGGGGGTGCGCGTTCGCAGGGAAAGGGCCGTAAAGTAAACACAGGTCTCCGAGGGTTGGCTCCGTGTACCGGGTTTCCCCTTAACTTCAGAACGCCCCCTCTACTCGGTCGGAGCTAGTAAGTAGACACGCCACTGTGTACACCACGCACGTACACAGGTCCTCACTCAGCATCCCGTATCAGGGTTCCCCCGCCCGCCCTCCCGGGGCTCCGGTTCTCCCTGATTCGCTCTTTTATTCGCCAGGTAGGTAGGTAGTAAGGTGAAGAACAGCCAGGCTCGGACTGGACACCAACGCGGTATGGGTGGACGCTAGACAGATGATGACGACACGCACGAGCGACACACAGACACAAACAAGCTCACAAGACACACAGCCAGCTGGCTGCCACACACCCTGAGTCGGCGTACACATAACTCAGGGCCACATCCTCCCTGTCGCCCCCCCCCAGCACTCCACGGTGCCAAGGGCACAAACAAGGGCACAACTCAAACAACAGACGACAGGAAGCGATATGTGAGGCTAGAGCAGTTTGCTCCACCTCTAGCAATCTCACCGGCCGGCGAGGCACGGACGAGACCGTGTGTGGGGTCTAAGTGAGGTGTCTATGGACGCTCTCCTCACGGGCTAGCTGCCTACAGCTAGCCCTTCTCGCACTCACAGGCGATGACAGTCCAATGTATGAGCGTATGCAAGTTGAGGCGCGTGGGCTAAATCTAGGCCGCACGTCGTGGCACTATGACGAAGTAGACGTGCGGCCGCATCGCGCCCGCCGCAGGCTCGGCGGTGCGCGCGTGTTAGCGACAAAGTTGCGGGTGGAGCCATGCCCGACTTTTCGAAGGTGAGGCCTCTGCGACGAGTGCCAGCCGCGCTGCGGAGCCACGCCCTTCGAGCCGCGTCCCGTCAGCACTGTCCCCGAGTGGTCCCGCCTCAGCGGCACACACTCTCGACCAGGACAGTCCCGCCAACGGAAACGTGTCGCGCGCCGGCGACGATTGCGGCGTGGTCGTTGTGAAGCGGAGATGGCACGACCACCGCCCTGCTTCGCAGACCGGGCAAGGAGGGGCCCGCTCCCGTTCCGCGAGGAACAGGAGGTTTCCCCCCCTCCCCCGGCCTGAGCAGCGGCGGGTGGAAGGCAGCCCCTTGAGTCGAGGGCGGCGCTACCATTGCGCCGACTCAAAGACCAGCTAGCTGGTCCGTTCAGTACAGATGGTCTCGCCGCCCCGCTCCGCGCCGCCCGCCGATGCGCCGCGCCGCCGCCTCGCGCAGCCGCCGCGCCGCGCCCCGCCCGATGATTAATAATTAAGATTACCCGGAATACGGTACGCAATTAAGGAATTAATGAGTGAATTAATCAATTAAGTGAGCGCCCTCGCGTCACCTATGACTCGACCAGTGTGAAGGTGAAGAGATGTCACCGAGCATGCGTGCAGCTGGCCCGGGGTGGGGAGAGAGAGAGAGAGAGAGAGAGAGAGAGAGAGAGAGAGAGAGAGAGAGAGAGAGGGGGAGGGAGAGAGAGAGAGAGAGAGAGAGAGAGAGAGAGAGAGAGAGAGAGAGAGAGAGAGAGAGAGAGAGAGAGGGAGAGGGAGGGAGAGAGAGAGAGACCCGAGAGAGAGAGAGAGAGAGAGAGAGAGAGCCGAGAGAGAGAGAGAGAGAGAGAGAGAGAGAGAGAGAGAGAGAGAGAGAGAGAGAGAGAGAGCAGAGAGAGAGAGAGAGCAGAGAGAGAGAGAGCAGAGAGAGATATATTGAAAATGGCGACAACAGTGCCGAGCAGCAGCAGCAGCACGCCCACGGCCCGAGCCAGAGCGAGGAGACGGAACGGCCGAGCCGACAACGGAGGCAGCGAGCAAAAAGGCAGCTCGGCGCGGCTCGCGCGCCGCGCGCGCCAAGCAGCCGAGGCTGCCGAGGAGGCCGAGGAGGCCGAGGAGGCCGAGGAGGCCGAGGAGGCCGAGGAGGCCGAGGAGGCCCCCCCCTCCCCCCCGGCGACTCGAACCGGGAGCCAGTCGACGCACGAACGGAACGCTCGCACATCACCGGATATGTCAACTCGCAGCAGCGAGGCAGCAGCTCATATACAGTGGACTTTACTCAAACCGAGACCCCCAACGTTTTTTTTCAGCATTCGCCGCTGGCTTGCCGCTGCTACTCAGCCACGAAATTTTAAGGTGTGCACATGGACACCGACGTACTCTTCCTCAAGATCGAGCGGCTCCGCAGACTCTATCGCTCGGAAATCCTCACGGTGCCGGTCGAGCGCGGCGATAACGGAACCTTTGGCCTCGGGCTGTCGGACGACAATGAGGTGCTGCGGCTGCACCACGATGCCAACGCGCAGGTGATCGAGCCTGGCGACCAGGTCATCTCGGTGGAGGGCGTGCCGCTCGGCCGAGGCCCGCTCTCTCGCCTCCTCGCCGAGCGCTTCGCGGAGCGTCAGGCGGTGACACTGACGCTGTCGCGCGCCGAGCCTTCCACCTCGACGGCACCGCTGACGGGCGACGTGTTTGCGACGCTCAAGCTGCTGCGCGCCGACGGGTCGCTGCTGCAGGAGTACCCGTCCGACCTCTGGCGCTTCCGCCCCGACGCTGCGTGGGGCGCCTGCTGGACACTTCGCGTCCCGCGAGGCGTCGCGTGCGCCTCGCTGCAGCTGCAGCGCTCGCTGCTCTTCACGGATCCTCCGGTCGGCTCGGCGGTGCTGCAGCTGGACTCGCTCCCGGCCGAGGAGCTGCACACGGCGTGGCACGGCCTGCGCCCCGACGCGTCCCGCTGGTCCTCGTCGCGCTCTCGGCCGCTCGGCTCCTCTTCGTTGGCCGGAGAGGTTCTGATCTCGGTGCAGCCGAGATACCGCCGAGACACGGGGAGATGTGGGGAGATACAGACCGACGCCCTCCACCCAGCCTCCTGCCCTAGCCTCTCAGGGCTGCCCGACCCGTTACGGGGCGGTGCGGGAGAGGGCTCGGTACCACCGCAGAGACATGACTAATGGAGACAGACCGCTCCCGCCCGCCGCCTCTGCCTCGCGGGGAAGGAGGCTCCGCCACGCAGACCACACCACCCCCATGCCGCCCGTACAGCCGACTGAACACGTAGCAGTCGGACTGCGCTCACCCGCGGGCTTGGCTAGAGGGCGAGGCGTGTTGAGAGAGGGCCGGCTCGGGCGGCTGGACTACCGCAGGAGGGAGAGGGTGGGTTCAGGTATCGGGCGGGGAGGGAGAGGGTGGGTTCAGGTATCGGGCGGGGAGGGAGAGGGTGGGTTCAGGTATCGGGCGGGGAGGGAGAGGGTGCGTTCAGGTATCGGGCAGGGAGGGAGCGGGTGGGTTCAGAAATCGGGCAAGGAGGGAGCGGGTGGGTTCGTATCGGGCGGCTAGCCTCCCCGCTGGCCAACGGCGAGGGGCGTGCGGCGCTCACTCGCCCTCGCCCCCCCCTGCACCCCCTCCCCCCCCCCGCCCCGCCCTTCCCACCAGGTGCGGAGGTATCGCGAGTCCTCCTCTGTTAGCCCAGGCGGGCACAGCCTGCACAGCTTTGACAACGGCTGGGAGAGCGCCGACGAGTTCTTCGCGCCCCTTCTGCCCGAGCAGCACGCGCCTGCGCCCCTCAAACCAATCGCGGAGCCGTCGCCCATTTTGTGAAGGCCGGCGCAAACCTGTTCTAGACGGAGAGGCACAGCGACGGCGCCGCGGATTAGTTGGCCGCGGCTCCCAGCAGCTCTCGCCACTTCGTGAGAGTTGAGACCTCTTTTGCGGCCCGCGGTAGGGTGTGTAAAGTATCGGAGAGACCTGTCAGCATTCCATTGTGGCACATGCCACTACATCTACTACCCGTTTTGGTGCGCGTTTTGTTTTATTTGTTTAGACCAGCACTCGAGGTAACTTGAGCGATCCCGTGTTCTCCTGAGTCAGATCACAGACCCGGGGGGAGTGCCAGGCGGCGGCCGGCGCAAGCGGCCATGGCGAGCGGAGGCCCAAAGTCCAAACACAAACACGAGTGTGGAGCCCACGCATCCCCCTGCCGTCATCGAGTACCTGCCGTCTCTGGGGGCTCTGCCGACTCCAGCACGCAGCGATGGAAGCGCAGCAGCGACTCGTCGCAGTCGAGCTGCATTCCGGCGTGGGGCGGCAGGGAGGGAGGTTGCAACTTGGGCGGCAGGGAGGGAAGTGGCGGTCGTGAGGCTGTGCTGTGGCGGCAGTTACCTCGCCAGCGTGGAGCACACACGCTGCGTATAGTCGCTTCCACCGCGAGCACGCGCCTACTCCCAATCAGACAGCATCACGCCGCCAGGCGAAGAGTGCATCCGGGGCGCCATGCTCCCTCGAGACCGAGGATGCGAAAGCGCCGGCGCTCGCCAGCCTCGACGCAGGTATCCAGCGTATCCTGCAATCAGTGCCGAACTCGGAATGGTTCCGGCTTCGGCTCCCTGCCAAAGGGCGGGGCCGCGTCACGCACCCGCAGAGCGTCGCAGGGGCGCCAGTCTCTGTGGGCCTCCATGCAGCGGCGGTGAGAGTCGACGAGAGGGCCGCAGCCGAACGGAAAGCGCAGGAGCAACGTCATCTCCTCGAGCTCCCGTGCGTGCCGCTCGCGACGGGCGTCGTCGAACGAGCTGGCCATCGTGCGCGGCGGGAGCGGCTACTTATTTTTTTCTTATTTTTTTGCTAGCCAAGGAAGTTTTTTCTTCCTTTCGACAAGCCCGCGGCTGGGGCCCAGGGCCCGAGCTGCCCAGGGTGGCCATTGGTGAGCTGAGGCCCCGCCGCCACCCTAGCCTCGCGCCTCTGCTCGCGGGCCGCCTGCTGCGCGCTGCTTGGCGCATCCACCGCCTTGCCGCACCCTGCACCGCCGCCGCCGCTCGCTATAGAACGCACCCTGCCCGCGCCCTGCAGACCTGCTCAAATGGCGATGCAAGTAACCGTCAAGTCTTGGCACGCGGTGGCCAGCTGGACGTGGACGAGCGAGGACGACGTGTGTGGGATCTGCCACATGCCGCTGGATGGCTGCGCACCGGGAGCGCCGGGACCCGGTGATGACTCGCCAGTCGTATGGGGCAGGGTGCGCACCATCCGCCGCGCAGTGCACATGCTCTCGCTTCCTGGTCACTCTTTCCCGCGCCTCGTAGTGCTCGCACTACTTCCACCTCATGTGCATCAACACCTGGCTGCACAACAAGAACACCTGCCCGATCTGCCGGCGGAAGTGGGAGTTCGCCAGGTGCGCAGCCTGACCCCTCCGCCCCCGCCCGCCCCGCGCGGCCCCTCCATCTCACCTTACAAACTCAATGCTCGTAGTGCGCCGAAGCCAGCTCCAGCGACGCCCGGCGCGCCGAGAGGCGCCGCAGCAGACAGCTGATCGGAGAGAGGCGGATTTTGGGTTGCGGCATGCGCCCCGGCCTGGGCGAATCGGGTTTCTACCGTTCTCTGCGTTCCCCCCGTGTGGATATTTGTTTCCGGTGTGTACGTCGTCCGTGAATGATGGAATTCAAAGCGGCCGCGGGCTCGCGGCACACTGCACACACGTCGATACTCGGAAGTACGAGGGAAACCACACGCGCACGCATCTGCCGCCCAGAGCCTCGCCACGCCGCCGTGCGTCGATCGAGCGGGTCTGCGCGAGGGGCGGAGGGCCGTGCTCGGTGGGGGAAATGTGGGGAGGCTCCGGGTTTTGGGCCGTCGGCGCTGGCGCTGGCTCAGGATCCCGTCGAGCGGGTGATCCGGTTTCAAATCAGGAGGCCGCGGATCAAGGCGGCTCAAATATGGAGGGCAAGATCGGGTCTTCACCGCCAGCGGTGCAGGGCAGGGAGTGTGTCAGGTGGCGTCCCGCCTCCCGCCGGGCTCAGACGGAAGAAGCATGCTTCCGTTCAGCGCGCGCGGCGTGCCGCGCACTCGTACAAGAGGTGTCAGAGTGCTGGCTCTTCACCGCCCGGCGGGACGGAGACGGGGGCTGCGTCTGTGGTGGTTGTGCGAGCCGCACCGGAGAGCGGAAGGCGGCGAGCGGAAGCGGAAGCGGAAGGCGACGTGAGCGCAAGGAGAAAAACATGAGTGAAAAAAAAAGGTCGGCGGGCACGTCTCTCCGCATGGTGGCCTCCCTGCTCGCTCCCAGCGCCACGCGCGGACAGTCAGTGAACGGCGTCTCGCCCGCCGCGTCCGCGGTCGCGCCTCCACTCGGCGGCGACACATGCGGCGGCGACACCTGCTCGGCGGCGCCATGGACCTGCTGCTCGGCGGCGCCATGGACCTGCTGCTCGGCGGCGCCATGGACCTGCTGCTCGGCGGCGCCATGGACCTGCTGCTCGGCGGCGCCATGGACCTGCTGCTCGGCGGCGCCATGGACCTGCTGCTCGGCGGCGCCATGGACCTGCTGCTCGGCGGCGCCATGGACCTGCTGCTCGGCGGCGCCATGGACCTGCTGCTCGGCGGCGCCATGGACCTGCTGCTCGGCACCTGGCGACGCGGCTCGGGCTGCCGCTGCATCTGCCGCCTCTGCCTCCCCTCTGCCTCTGCTGCCCCCACCTCTGCTGCCGCCGCCGCCGCCTCTGCCTCCGCTCCCTCTGCCCTCTGCTGCCGCCACGGCTCCTCCTGCTCCTCCGGTGCAGCAGTACCACCCTGTTGTCCCCGTATCAGCCTCTCTGAGAGCATCGGGGACAACTCTGCCCACCATTCCTGCTGCTGCTGCGTGCTGTGCTGCGGGCTGCGCTGCGGGCCATGCTGCGAGCTGCGCTGCTGGCGGCTGCGCTGGCTTCTTTGCGGGCGGCGCGACTGGCGAAGCGGAGTGCCAAGGCCGCGGCGGGCGCGGCCAACAACTACGACTTCATGACGTGGGCGGCGAGCACACGCGGCGGCATTGGCCGCGAGGCGGCGGAGTGGTTCACCACCGGCTTCGCCGCCAAGGTCGCCCTGGCGCGCTCCGACGGCGAGAAGTGGCGAGTGCGCAACGAGCGCAAGCGCCTCCTGCAGCAGCACTCGGCCATCATTGCGAGGCGCAACTGGGAGATCATCCAGCGCAACGCGTGGCCGAGGATGGGCGGCGTGGCGCCGCGAGCGCCGCCAGTCGAGTAGTAGCGGTAGGGAGTAGAGGTAGTCGTCACAGTAGTGTCCTGTCAGAGCGTCCCGTGTCGGTCAAGCAGCGTCTGTCGGATAGTAGGAGAGAGTGTGTCGTGTGTCGTGCGGATCAGTCCTGTCTGGGCGGGGGGGGGAAAGAGACGGAGAGGAGATTCATTGAGCCTTGGCACCAGCCGGGCAGTGGGTTTGGCCCTGGCATCAGCCGGGCATGTTGTTGATTTGGCCTTGGCATCAGCCCTGGCAGGCGGGCACGCGGGACATGCACAGGCGCCAAGGGGCGCAGAACCGACCTAACCCGTCGGAGGTGGGGGGAAGGGAGTACCGCCGGGTTCCCCTGCGTGAGCGCAAGAGTAACCCCGAGAGGGCTGAAGATGAGCGGTACGCGCAGGGGTCGGCGTGACGGGGCGAGGGACGCGCCGCGCGGGGCGCCGCCTCACCGGCCCAAGTGGCGCAGGGCGAGGCGGCGAGAACCGAGCGAGCACGTCCTCGTGAGCCCCGTGGCTCCAACCAGGCCCTTCCTTTTTTTGAGCAGGTGTGACGCCGCGCGAGCGACGCTCCGAGATCGCCCGAGATAGCGCGGCGCGGCGGTGGGTGAGGTGGGGTGGGGTGGAGTGGCGTGGCGTGGAGCTCCGGGATTGCGCGAGATTGTGCGAGACCGCCCGAGGTCACGCGGCGCGGCCCGAGATCGCCCGAGATCGCGCGGCCCGAGATCGCGCGGCGCGGCCCGGGGCGGGGTGGATGGGTTGGGAGCGAGGGGGCGGAAGTGTTCAGTGCGGTAGATCGGTCAGTCGGGGCGCGTGAGCCGGACTTGGGAGCCGGACAGCTTTCATTTCTCTCTGCGTTGTTGAGCCAGGACTCAACATACTCGTTCTGTTGCCATCCCAAACTGTCACTCCCCTTTCTCCCGGCCGGGGCGGGGCGCGCGCGGGGGCGGCGGGTGTGCGGCGAGTGTGCGGGATGTCTGTGGGCCCGAGAGCGATATGCCATGTCCGCCTTGCGTTTGTTTTCATAACATCGAAGGCTAAGCTCAAAAAGCTCGTCG